TATATATATATATATAAGATTTAATAGTAAAAGTATTACAAACGAAAGTGGAAAAAGTGTGACCTGTAATGCGCGGTCGTCAATAAAATACTCTCGTTAAGAAAAACTTATTTCGCAAGTTTCTTTCGTTGAAAAATATATTTCTACTACATATTTTCTCCTTTTCCGGGCTACACTGTATAGCCGAATAAAAGCCGAGTGTGCAACAGTGAGATAGATGTTGGAATCGAGCTGCCGAGCTTTTGTTGGCATAAATGGATTTATGTTGCGCCATCGATCTCGCATATGGCTTCGTTATGATGACACGCGATTCGAGTATCTCCACTTGAAACATATTCCGTGGCGAGTTTCACCATGTCACTGCTGTTGTCACGATGGTATAGCGTTTTCGGAAAATTGCTGAAACGCAGACATAAATCTGTCGTTGATGGAGATCGTCGATCGGGAAATATTTTCGAATCTAGTCGTGGACAGTTCGCCGATTCGACGTGTATTCGGCTCATATGTAAATAACGTTACGAAATGAAAAGAAAATTCAATCTCGGAGATACGAGTATAAAATCGTTAGTAATTGATATTTAAACGCTCTCACGAATAATAATTTTCGCTCTCACGAAAGATTATTTCTTTATTAAATGGATACAATAAGCGACACCGGCAGCGATCAATATTCTCTCCTTGGCTTAACTTCCAATCTTGGATTTGCATATTATATCTGTGACATTTGTATTTATGAATTCTTGTCGATTGGAAAATATCCTACAAGGGTGTCATATTCAAGACATCCCCGTAATTTTAATGTTCAATGCTTTTCTAAAATTATCATTTTCCGCCTCATTATACTCACGTTTTTCTCGTCAAGAAAAAAACGTGAGCAGAGAAATTACTCTAACGCGAAACAGAAAACGAAAGGAAGATTGAGGAAGCTTACCGATTTGACGGATGAGGGGCAGCCAAAAAAGAAACAGCGAAATCATCCATCAACCGCATCGAGAGTCCTTAAGGAAATTACTCAAAGACCTAACCACCTTCGTGAATACATCCTGATGAGTATATATACTCGCGCGCTAAGTAATTCCGCGCACCAAACTTTGATGAGTCACATAGCTAGAGCTCGGTATTTTAAAATCCTTGGTTTGATCCCTCAAGGAGAACGGAGGAGAAATAAAATAAAAGTTTAATTTTAAGAATAACACATGAAATATCCAATCTTCGTCAGAATCCGTCGGTAAGAGAACACACCAATCCGGAAGCGTAGACAATACCTTTGCTCTTCAGTAGCTTTGTGTATTGATTTACAGTGGTTTATATAGGGTGTCTCAAAATTAATGTTGGAATGTTCTTTTAACACTGTTTTTCCGAATTTTAAGTTAATTTTTTCTTAAAAAAGAAATTAAAACATTGATTTCTAAACATTTAGAGAAAAATAATCTTTTTCATAAATTCTTCAAAGAGCTGAAGGACTTTCTTAATTTATTTCAAATGATTTATTTTAGAATAATTTTAGTTAAAGTAATATTTACAAAGATATATGAAAAAATTGCAAAGTTGCAATAAATGATTATTTCCCTCGGTATTTTCGCTAGAGGAAACGGTTCACAATTTATTCATGTATGTATGCAGTCACCTAGTCAGAATTGCGGAGCACAGATTACAAAGGATGCATAGGATACAATAACTGCAATACCAATATCATTGTCTTTGCCAAGTCACTTGCGACAGAATTACAACGTATAGCGATACAGTGAAACGTTAAATCTGGCCGTGTACATGCTTGCGACGGTTATCACTTACACTAATATCCACCGGTTTCTAAACCGACATCTTATACACGTTTCTTACAACGTTTCTTACGGATATTCATGTACAGAATTCTCATCATTCGTATTATAAAATATATATAAATATTAGGTTTTAACTACGAATACTGAAAGTTAAATTCAGATAGGTGCTGATTAAAGTAACGGAACTAGAAATGTTGATTTTAATTTTATTCTTCTCCTATAATTTTATTTCTCTTGTTTAATATTAGTAAATTGTTAAATAAACAAAATCAGTAATATTTATTTATGGAAAACGTAAAAAGACTTTTTTAAATCAGAATATTTCATTGATTCTCCTAAACGTTGGGTTAATGCTCTAAACCGCGATCTAAAGCTATTACTTCAAAAAGAGCACTAAGGGAATTAGTGACTCCATTTATCACTTAGCCTTTAGCCTTAATTTGTCCTCTCACCAAGCGTATCGAGTCCTGCCTACTCGAAATTCGATTTATCATAAGTAATATCAATAATGAAAAATTAAATATGAAATGTAATGTCCTAAAAATGTGCTAATTAATACATCGGAAAGAGTCCGGTTGCATTTGGAACATTAATGGAAAAAAATGGACAAATTAAAATTTCATAGTTAAATCTATTACAATTCTAGTCGAGATATCCAATTATATGATAACCAGAATTCTGATTAATATATATTATACATAAATCAGAATTTATGATTCATTCATTTTCAACTAGAAATTTGTTTGTCATTTTCAGTTTCAGTAGAGTTTATGTCTTTCGAAGTTAATTCGTGATAACAAAAACAATTTTACTCCGTGTAACTCAATATAATTTTAGAGAGGAACTTTCGAATAACATACTTTTTTATATTTAAACACTATTATAAGAATATTAATTACTCATAGTCGAGTAAAGATTCAGCTTGGTTAAGAAATAATTCATCTTTCTAGTCAGAGAGTAAAGTACATGATATAATTACGATCGCTATGTAAGTTTAACGAAATCTAGGGTGCAACTGCGGCGACGCATGTTGGACTCCATGGTCGATGGTGGATACAGTTGCATCAGCATCAGAGACTCCGAAGGGAAAGCTCGTCGACGCTAAAAGCTCGAAACATTAAAAGCACCATCACATCCACGCCCCCGGCTTCCCTTTATGCTCGCGCATGTCGACGCAAGCTCGCTTAATTAAGCCAAATATGAGACGACGCTTTTATTTCGAATTACCTGCCAGTCTCTCCCATCGGTTAAAAGAAAGGCGACCTGTTTACAGTCAGCGAGAATTTTTGTTCGTGTAAAAGAATGTAATGATATTTCTTCAAAATGATATTCTAAAGCAGTTTGAAAAATCCATCGGAAATTTTTTATTAGGAAAAGAAAAAATTAAGTACTGTAATGTCTTATACAATTAATTCTGGAACTATGACGAACTTTAATATAAACCAAATGGAATTCTTCTTGCTCACGAATAACAGTGTATGACGTAGTCATGACGTTGTCAAGTGTTAATTTGCAGATTCACTGACTAACGGAGTAAAGAGGGATGAGAAACCGTTTATGCAGATTACGTGCTGTCTGATTACTGACGGTACGACACCATTTCTGCACCTAGAGTTGCCAACTCTCCACTTAACGCGCCTCCCAAATGCGCGCCTGCATCTATCCGCATCACGTGCCAAGATTAGTTATTAGATTGCAAGAACGGCTCAGACTTGGCTATGTAACGACATCGGTATGGAAATGGGAATGAAGATGGTCCTGTTATATGACGCGCACAAAACAGGAAATCTTCTCGCGGCAATCATCGCATGTTACGTCGAGGAGATCTACGCTCAATGAGATTTGCGCCCATCCACACGGATACTACGACAGACGTGTGGAATTTCAGCGATGTAACGTATAAAATTTATCACCTCGGGATTCCGGGATAAAACGTTTAATATCCCGAAGAACACCGCGTAGAGAATGAAATCGTCAACCCATTCCGGCAATCCGGAAAGCGCAGAGCCGAGCAAGATGTCGAGTCATGAGCGGATCTCACTTAACCAAGCAAAGTTAACATGTTAAGCGAATCGTTAATTGTGTGACATGCTGTGCCATGCGCTTCGTAGACGACCGCGAAGTTCAGAAGGAAACTAAATAGAAGATTGGGGTAAATTTGACGGAGAGAGAACTGCACTCGGCCCCGCAATGATGGCAAGAGTTTTGCCTTCCAGCTCCATGAAACTCCGCCGGCATAGATGCAGCAAGAATTTCCTGGGAGTTACTAATGGTATTCCAACATCCCGTGCCAGCCCACGAATTCCATTAGAGTACGTCAATAATATTCTCTTACATGTTACAAGACCGATTAAATGTTAAATTACGAACGTGAAACTCGTTCGGTTCATCTTTCGTTTGCTCATACTTGTTATAGATTTTGATATTTACCGTATTACTCACACATTAAATCCTTAGCAATAATATTACGCATAGTAATAATCATAGTGTAGTATATAATCGCCGATAAATCTCATTATTGAGAAATAGTTAATTTATAATTTGTTAAATTAACATTGGCGTGTACAATTAAAGAAATTTATAGAGAACTTGTTTGCGAATTGTGTTTGAGTCACTCGATGAGATATGTCAAATGAAAATGAAAATCGATGTTCAGATGTCTTGATATGAAAGCGTTGGAGTATCCGGTAACAGTTAATCGAATATCTAGCGCGTCCCGTACCGGAAATAGCAACGGAAGCGGAAATCTTAGATCAAGAAGTGGTTCACCTTGATCATGGAAGAGGATCGCTAACGGAAAGCGAGTGTCGCCTGATGGTATCTGTCTGCAATTCAACATAGAGATGTCTGAAGTACTCAAGAGTTGCTATCTGGCATGACACGAACAACGAGAGTTCAATTTATCCTATCCTATAAATCTTACAACGAGTTTATTATTCGAATATTTATTGAAAAGCCATATAATAGTGATAAAATTTCGCGATATTAGTTTCTTATTTTTGTATAAATGTAACAAAAACAATAGACGTGTTTTATATGTTACATATTAGCTTAAAAGTATGAAAAATTTAGAAAAATGTTGCGTTTTTTAAATGCTCGCGTATCATCGTCTTTCTGAAACTTTATTAAGATTTCTCACGTACATTATTTTTATTTTGTTTCATCTTTTAATTTATAATATAAACTATATAACAAAACTACATACTAGTGAAAATAGTGATTTAATTAAACCAAGAAAGTAAAATAGCTACTGAGAATTGTAATTGTACATAAACTCAATTAACTTATACTAACACTTTGAATTTCAATGTACACGTATCCGTTAGCAATTCACATGAAAATTGTCAAAGCTGCGATGCAATTAATTTATTGAATAAGAACACATTTAAATTTGCATAAGAAGTTCGCTGTAACGTTTACCTTATTTAAGTTTTGACAAGTTCCACCAACTAATATGATAATATCCCGATCTACGAACCAGAACGTGAGTTCGCTTTAATAGTTGAGACGACAAAGGGTGTTGTAGACTGCCTATCGTGATTTAATGAGAGCGAACATTGAAATGCTTTTGTAATCGGATATAGCGGTTCATGTCTTTTGTATACGTTTAACGTTGCAATAACATTTCTTTACCGTATCGACAAGAGAATTTTAGACGAAAAAAGAAAGAGAGAGAGAGAGAGAGAGAGAGAGAGAGAGAGAGAGAGAAAGAGAAAAAGAGAAAGATACAGCGGGAATATTATTAAAAAACATTAAGATTTAAAAAGTGGATTTAAAAAGAAATAGAAAAGAATTATAGTTTCTCTTCTATTTATTTTAATATTTGTCGTTTTGAAACGATATTATTATCGATAATAATAAATATAATTCCCACTCGATTCACGTTGCCACATTTGTCACTGGTGAATCTTATTGTTGGAGCGATGGGAAGCAATGCCATTTGACTGATAACCTCTTGACTATTAATTGGCGTTACTATCCCTCAATTAATAGAGACTCGGATAGATGGCAAATTACAGCGCACGTACAGCGCACTGTTTGACAAATATTTGTCTGTCAACACAGTCCCTGCTTTGATTTTGGTAAACTATACGTAACTATCATTGATTACAGAAACATTACTCCTTTCTGAGCAACATCTCTTTGACGAGGAGTCTTTTCGCTACAATATAAACTTCTTCATATAGTGAAGTTTGAAAAATAATCATGTCGATATAGCACGATAATTTACATGAAAGCAAGCAAAGTCTGTCTCAGCGGAATCGATAATTTGTGACGCTCGTACAGGCGCCCCGATTTATTGAGCGATTCCGAAATGGCTCCCGCGGAAAAGTCAAGAGCGATAGCAGCTTATCAATATGGATGTGTTTAACTTGCTGCATAATGGACGAAGTCGGCATTTCCCCAACCGAATGATATAACGGCGTAATCATTAGTCGGAACATTCGGAAACTTGGTTAACTCGGATCTTCACTTGGAAAACTAATTGAAAGAATCCTCTCCTGTTGGAGTCTTCCGCTCTACGTTTCCTTCCTTCTTAATTCTTTTTATTCTCGAAAGCTTTTCTGCCGTCTGCTTTGTGCGTTTTGATCTTCGGAACGACAGAAATTTGTAAGAATGCTTTGCGGAAGATCGAAGTCGGTGGTAGGAGTGCTTTCTTTCGCAAGTTTAAAGTCGATATTTCTTTTTTTAGTAAAAATTTCAAACCATTTTAAATTGCAGAGATATTTAATGCTGAAAGCTGAATGGTTCGAAGACGTTGGACGTTTTATTAAAAACTTAACTTGTTTCTTAATATAAAGCAGCAATTCTTGATTATTTTTCTTACAATACTTATTTTTATAAAATAACAATAATATTAAGAATCTTTATTTTAGATCGCATATGTGAGAACACAATCAATAATTGCCTCGATGCCTCTGAAGTCTAAAGGCTTAGGACGCTCGTTATGGAATACAGAAAGATCCGGGTTCCGCTTCCGATCGAAGTAATATTTTTCGCAATAAGTTTATTACAGTTCTTTAAGATGAAATTTGGAAAAATTTGGGAGGATTATTAATATTTCAGATTGCATTAAAAGTCCGACAACCATCGATATTACGCAATTATAACTTCTGAAATTAATTCATTTAAATGAATATATATAATGAATATATAAAATAGTTCAACATCTTATCATTCAGACCGTAGTGGCGCTTCGTATTTAAAATAATGTATCTAACATAAACGATCTTATTTCCAATCTTATTATCATTTATAACAGTTATTAATTAAAATATTTAAATAAGTAATAGAATGTGTCAATGTATACCAGTCGGACAACCGGACACTGCACAGAAAAAAATAAATTGAGTGGTACAGCAAACTTGTAACTTACTGCACGAATTCAACATCTATAACTAAGAAGATTTAATAATTTAACAAATCGCTAATGTTATTCAGCTATCAACTTTGCTATTTTAACATAAAAAATTGACTGCCTATATATTACGACTGTAGATTTGCTGAATTAAAGTTTTCAGTTGTGTTTTTTTTATAGGACGTAATTGTCCCAGTGTCCCACAATTAGAAAATTAGTATGCTGACGGGAAATATTAATAGATGTTTAATAACAAAAGACTACTATTCAAATTGATCTTTAAGTGCAAAAAATGCATTTAAAATTAATATTAATTTAAATAACTAAATTTTGTGATAAGATTTTTTTCTTATACTATGGCATAGTATATAGAAGCATAGGTTATTTCACATCAGAAATATCTTAGATATTTCGTGTTATAATTTCCACATCTTACGGTTTTACGATTATTAATCTAACTTCTGTAATTAAGCAATTCAACATATCCCGCATTTTTCTATTAGTACAATCCTATTCTATCACTACATGAAAAATTTATTGCCAAATATTTATTTATTTTTTTATTAAATAACAAAAAAGATTAGGCTCATCTGAGATTAATATTAATTTAAATAAATAAATTAAACATTTTGTGTAACTATCCGAACGTACTTATTATCCGAGCCCAATAACTGGACATGTACCTATGTATTCGGACATTTACATAACATTTTATTTATTTAAATTAATATTAGTCTCTTAATATTAGTTATTTAATGTTTCTATAAAATATACACAAACATAGCCAATGTGCGCGAAAATTGAGTATACGATGGATTATATCCAGAACTCATCTTCGGATAGTTGGAACCAAACATTGCAGAAATAGGTATTCGATGTTCATTCCGATTGTGCTTTTTATTATTGTACAATAACATACTTTAGAGAATTATTTATACACACAGAGAAGAGATTAGTCAACGCAGCTAAAATAGAACTGTAGCAGTTAAAACGTATCCTTATAATAGGAACAGTTAATGTCATTGCTCAATTTATTAACTAAAATTTAGGTGCTACAACGAAAAATATTCTCTGCTAAAGTAAAATAGCAACCAGCAGCATCCCAGAAACAATTGCGAATGGAGTGTTCGGTTACGCGGCTAAGATAGTGACGAATAGCTGCCACTTATTTAGCTACTCATATTAAACACGCTTTTAATTTTAATTAATAAAAATGTCGGCAACAATGTATTTTATCTTCAATAGTCAATTTTTATCAATAACAGCAAAATTTAAATCAGCAACTGATATTTAGCTGATATTACTAAGTCCTTTTTTTACGTGTAGTAACAATTTTCTTATACTATGACATAGGAACATAAGTTATTTTATATCAGAAATATCCTAGTGAAATATCTCGTGTTATGATTTCCATGTCTTATGGTTTTACGATTATTAATCTAATTTCTGTAATTAAGCAACATATCCCGCATTTTTCTATTAATACAGTCTTATTCTATCACTACATGAAAAATTTATTGCCAAATATTTATTTATTTTTTTTATTAAATAAAAAGATTAGGCTCATGAAACTTGAAGACATCCAAATTCTAAAATTTTTTTTTACAATGATTACAGGCACGATCTAATGATAAATTTTCCACTGAATAGTTTTCAATCCAAGAGTAATAAATTCTTGATGGGACCAATAGATAGCGTTTATTAGTTTAGCAGAAAAACGTAGCTATTGTATATTAGGCACTAATCTCATAATAGAGGGTTTTCCTCTACATATACATGTATACACGCTCTAGTTACGATTAAAACGTAAATAAAAATAAAGTAACGATAAAAGAAACTAGTAAAATTGTTACCATTACCCCAAAAATGTAACTGGGTTATCATGAACGTTACTCAGAAGAAAATGTAATGTCGTTACCCAATCGTTACTGAAAAAAGTAACTTGTAATGGTA